TCTCCACCAGTAGAAGCTTCATTCTTGCACTTCTAAGATCTTGATTTGTCCGACCTCTTCTCTCTTCAACACCTTTGAAAATGTCTGGCCCCTCCGATCGTTGTTTTGACTTGAACCTTGTTGAAGAGGCAGCCCCGCCTTCTCCAGACAACATATGGCGCCCATCCTTCGTCTCCCCTACTGGTCCTCTTACCGTTGGGGATTCCGTGATGAAGAATGATATGACCGCTGCGGTGGTGGCCAGGAACCTTCTCACTCCCAAAGATAACAGACTACTTTCCAAACGGTCTGATGAGTTAGCTGTTAAGGATTCGTTGGCTCTCAGTGTTCAGTGTGCAGGTTCTGTGTCTAATATGGCCCAACGCCTATTTGCTCGAACCCGCCAAGTTGAATCCTTGGCGGCTGAAGTGATGAGTCTCAAACAGGAGATTAGAGGGCTCAAGCATGAGAATAAACAGTTGCACCGGCTCGCACATGACTATGCTACAAACATGAAGAGGAAGCTTGACCAGATGAAGGAAACTGATGGTCAGGTTTTACTTGATCATCAGAGATTTTGTGGGTTTGTTCCAAAGGCATTTATTGCCTTCGTCTTCTGGGGCTGTACCGCGTAATGAAGCTCCGAATGATCAACCTCTGATGCCTCCTCCTTCTAGGGTTCTGTCCAGTACTGAGGCTCCAAATGATCCCCCTCCGGTGCCTTCTCTTTCTGGGGCTCTACCGACTGCTGAGACTTCTCCTAAGCAACCTTTGTGAAGGCTCCGTCTTGTGTGTGTTTATTTTGACTCATGTATATGTACATATTTGTAGCTGATCGGGGATATCAATAAATAAGCTTTCCTTCATTTCAACGTATTGTGTTAAATACACCAAAGCCTTCTTCGCTAAGTTCTTTGAATTTTCTTTTGTTGAAGCTTGTATGTTGAAGCTTTCTGAGTGGAGCATGTAGGTTGGGGTAGTGTTCCCTTAATTTTCCGAGTGAGGAAAACTTCTCGATTGGAGACTTGGAAAATCCAAGTCACTGAGTGGGATCGGCTATATGAATCTTAGAACGCCATTGTGCTCGATCCTGTGTCATGTCCTCCGTTAGATCCAAGTACTCTAAGTCTTTTCTTAGAGTCTCTTCCAAAGTTTTCCTAGGTCTTCCTCTACCCCTTCGGCCCTGAACCTCTGTCCCATAGTCGCATCTTCTAATCGGAGCGTCAGTAGGCCTTCTTTGCACATGTCCAAACCACCGTAACCGATTTTCTCTCATCTTTCCTTCAATTTCGGCTACTCCTACTTTACCCCGGATATCCTCATTCCTAATCTTATCCTTTCTCGTGTGCCCACACATCCAACGAAGCATCCTCATCTCCGCTACACCCATTTTGTGTACGTGTTGATGTTTCACCGCCCAACATTCTGTGCCATACAGCATCGCCGGCCTTATTGCCGTCCTATAAAATTTTCCCTTGAGCTTCAATGGCATACGGCGGTCACACAACACACCGGATGCACTCTTCCACTTCATCCATCCAGCTTGTATTCTATGGTTGAGATCTCCATCTAATTCTCCGTTCTTTTGCAAGATAGATCCTAGGTAACGAAAACGGTCGCTTTTTGGTATTTCTTGATCTCCGATCCTCACCCCTAACTCGTTTTGGCCTCCATTTGCACTGAACTTGCACTCCATATATTCTGTCTTTGATCGGCTTAGGCGAAGACCTTTAGATTCCAACACTTCTCTCCAAAGGTTAAGCTTTGCATTTACCCCTTCCTGAGTTTCATCTATCAACACTATATCGTCTGCGAAAAGCATACACCAAGGAATATCATCTTGAATATGTCCTGTTAACTCATCCATTACCAACGCAAAAAGGTAAGGACTTAAGGATGAGCCTTGATGTAATCCTACAGTTATGGGGAAGCTTTCGGTTTGTCCTTCATGAGTTCTTACGGCAGTCTTTGCTCCTTCATACATATCCTTTATAGCTTGGATATATGCTACTCGTACTCCTTTCTTCTCTAAAATCCTCCAAAGAATGTCTCTTGGGACCCTATCATACGCTTTTTCCAAATCTATAAAGACCATGTGTAAATCCTTTTTCCCATCTCTATATCTTTCCATCAATCTTCGTAAGAGATAGATTGCCTCCATGGTTGAGCGCCCTGGCATGAACCCGAATTGGTTTGTCCGAAACCCGTGTCTCTTGCATCAATCTATGCTCAATGACTCTCTCCCAGAGTTTCATTGTATGACTCATTAGCTTAATACCCCTATAGTTCATGCAATTTTTGTACGTCGCCCTTTGTTCTTGTAGATAGGCACCAAAGTGCTCGTTCGCCACTCATTTGGCATCTTCTTCGTTTTCAAAATCCTATTGAAAAGGTCAGTGAGCCATGTTATACCTGTCTCTCCCAAAAGTTTCCACACTTCGATTGGTATATTGTCTGGGCCTATTGCTTTTTTATGCTTCATCTTCTTCAAAGCTACAACCACTTCTTCCTTCCGGATTCGACGATAAAAAGAGTAGTTTCTACACTCTTCTGAGTTACTCAACTCCCCTAAAGAATCGCTCATTTCATGTCCTTCATTGAAAAGATTATGAAAATAACCTCTCCATCTGTCTTTAACCGCGTTCTCTGTAGCAAGAACCTTTCCATCCTCATCCTTGATGCACCTCACTTGGTTTAGATCCCTTGTCTTCTTTTCCCTTGCTCTAGATAGTTTATAGATATCCAACTCTCCTTCTTTGGTATCTAGTCGTTTATACATATCGTCGTAGGCCGCTAACTTAGCTTCTCTGACAGCTTTTTTCGCCTCTTGCTTCGCTTTTCTATACTTTTCACCATTTTCATCGGTCCTCTCCTTGTATAAGGCTTTACAACATTCCTTCTTAGCCTTCACCTTTGTTTGTACCTCCTCATTCCACCACCAAGATTCCTTTTGGTGTGGGGCAAAGCCCTTGGACTCTCCTAATACCTCTTTTGCTACTTTTCGGATACAACTAGCCATGGAATCCCACATTTGGCTAGCTTCCCCCTCTCTATCCCACACACATTGGGTGATTACTTCTTCTCTTTGAAAATGACTTGTTTTTCTTCTTTTAGATTCCACCATCTAGTCCTTGGGCACTTCCAAGTCTTGTTCTTTTGTCTTACTCTTTTGATATGTACATCCATCACCAACAAGCGATGTTGATTAGCCACGCTCTCTCCTGGTATAACTTTGCAATCCTTACAAGTTATACGATCCCCTTTCCTCATTAGAAGAAAATCTATTTTGTGTTTTTGACGACCCACTCTTGTAGGTGATCACATGTTCTTCTCTCTTCTTAAAGAAGGTGTTGGCTAAGAAGAGATCATATGCCATTGCAAAATCCAAGATAGCTTCCCCATCCTCGTTTCTCTCCCCAAAACCATGGCCACCATGAAAACCTCCATAGTTGCCTGTCTCCCTGCCCACGTGTCCATTTAAATCTCCTCCTATAAATAACTTCTCCGTCTGAGCAATTCCTTGCACCAAGTCTCCAAGATCTTCCCAAAATTTCTCCTTCGAACTCGTATCCAACCCTACTTGAGGTGCGTACGCACTAATCACACATTGATAAGTTCTTGTCCTATTACAATCTTGATTGCCATGATTCTATCTCCTACCCTCTTGACATCTACAACATCTTGTACCAAGGTCTTGTCCACGATGATGCCAACACCGTTTCTCGTTCTATTTGTGCCCGAATACCAAAGTTTAAACCCTGAGTTTTCTAGATCCTTTGCCTTACTACCAACCCACTTAGTTTCTTGTAGGCACATAATATTTATCCTTCTCCTCACCATAACTTCCACTATTTCCATAGATTTTCCCGTTAAGGTTCCTATATTCCACGTTCCTAAACGCATTTTGCTCTCTTGAACTCTACCCTTCTGTCCTAGCTTCTTCACCCTCCCCCGTCTAATAGGATCAAAGTACTTCTTTTGTGTGTCCCGGGTAAAATTGATAGGAGCATATGCTCCCAAACAACTTTGAGTGGAGTCGTTCGAAAAGAAGTTTCTATGGCCCCCTTGCTCATTTAACACTGCATCCGGGTGCCGATGGAGATGCAGCGACCCTTGCTCACTTATCACTGTGCTCAGGCCACACAGCGCGCCACTTACGGGTGACGCCCTAGCTTTAGCGCGATTTTGTTCTGGATTCATTTTCATAAGGATTCGACGTGATCATGGAGTGCCGGCTGTCGACTACCTGACGCCCTCCCCCTCCTCCTTTATCCGGGCTTGGCGACGGAGAATGACCCTCTAGTTAGCCCATCATCCATTTAATTCACCAAATTCGTCCAATTTTGTTTAAGTCTTTAATTCACTTGTTTTTACTTTAATTTCATCCAAAACCCAATCCCCTTTACTTTAGAGTGTCAAATTAGTTAGAATCTGTCTTAGTTTGTGTTTTAAGTGTTTTGAGTCAAGTTAAAATCAATTTTCATACAAAGTCATTCCTATTGTCCAGTTTGAGTCTATTTAGTTGTTTGAAGCTGTTTTGAGTCATTTGAGTTTGTTTTGAGTCATTAGAGTCTAGTTAAGTGTCTTTAAATTTGTTTTTGAGTTTTTGAGTTTTTGAGTCAGTTTAGAGTAGATTAGCAATCCCTCCTAATCACCGGTCCAAAACGATCTCTACTTATCCATACTACAATTGTCAACAAGATGGTTTAATTTGTGTTAGTTAATTTTCACATCACTTACCATTGTGTACTTAGTCTAATCCCCCACCAATTAATGTAAATATATTGTTGTATTATAAAAAATTGTCGCATTCACTTAATTACTAAATATCAAAGAATCACAATCACACACAAATTAAAATCAAAATTATTTTCCCACCAATTAATACAATTCTCAAAGGCAACTAAAATCTCTTCTTTTATCACCTCTCTCTCTATATATGTATTATAAACCCTTCTCCAAAATCTTCACAGTCCAGCAGCAGACTTTCAACATTCTCTAAAACCCTAATCTCCAAAACCATGGCAATATCTGAGTTCTCCAAAATATGCATGATCTGCATAGTCACATTGCTCTCTGTGGCAATGGCTTCACAACAATCCCCACAACCCTCACTCACAAATGACACCATCCCTGCAGATGATGAGCTGATTTCCCTAGCTGCTGCTTCGTCTCCATCACAATCTCCTTATGCCGAAAATCTGGCTCCCGAAACTGGAGGCTATTTGGCCCCTTCAACAGATTCAGATCAATACAATACTCCACCACAACCACCATAACAACCTTACATTGACACATTTGCCCCTGAAGCTCAAGAGCTTCTCTCTCCAGACTACTCTCCTTTCCCTGCTCCTACTTACTTCCAAGATTACCCTTCTCCTCCTCCTTACATTGAAGCTCAGGCTCCTGAAAGTTACTATGCTTTTTACAGTCCCATTCAGGGTCCAAGTCTAGCACCGTCTTCCGAACGGGCTCAATTTTCGGATACTGATGATTTCACTTCTCCTCCAAACTTGGCTCCTCAGCCCAATGTGTTGCCTTCCAACTACAGAGCCGATGATGAGATTGGTGAGTTCGGTGAGCTAGAATCTGATGAAGCTTATAACTCTGAGCAGAATAAGAATAGGGCAACAATGGCGGGTTTTGCGCTTGGGTCTGTTTGCTTGGTTGGATTGGCAGGTTTTGTGTACAAGAAGAAGAAGTACAGCAAGTCAAAAGCAGATTATGAGTATGAATTGGCTAAGAGAGAGGATCTCTAGAGTCTAAACCTCTCGCCTTGGTTGGCTTCACCTACATACACTTCCCACATAGAGAAATATACATAAATTCTCTCTGCAAAACGTCTGTTCTACAGCCGAATTCATAGTTGATCATCAAGTTTTGTAATTGAACATGTCTACTTCTAAATTCTCTCTGCAAAACGTCTGTTCTACAGCCGAATTCATAGTTGATCATCAAGTTTTGTAATTGAACATGTCTACTTCTAGTACGTTTACTACTTTGCTTAGAAGCTCCTCAGATGTTGAGTGACTAGCTACTTGCATGTACTACGTACTATTATTCTATTATTGTAACGAACTATATATAATGAAACCTAGTCTTGCTTAATTACTTAGATGGTTCCTAATTTTTTCATTACAGTTAAAGTGGTAACTAATGAGTACATATTAATTTTTCTTTTGTTAATATAGATTTATAACTTTAATGGTAAAGCATTTGCCCCAACTTATGGAGAAAAAAAATATTGAATGACGCAAGAGGTCTTATAGACCTACTCTCTGAAAAAGTCTTGTTCACAGAATAATTCGAACCTCACCCTAAATCAACCAAAATTTCACACATCACTGTCACATAGTAATGCGATATAATAATACCAATTTCATCTCAAGCATGCAAATGTTACCAAATTAAGGTTAGCGATTAAGTTTTCATACAAAGCAATCAAATTATTGAATCAATCTGAAGGTTTCACATTAATTTTACCTTCATATTCTCGATAAGAGTTTAATTCTAGCTCATTTTAAGAAAAATAAAATACATTGAAAAAAAAAAGCAAATGATATGACCAATAAATCTAGAACAAGAGTAGCAAGAAAATACCTCACAACTTAAAAAACTTGGGAGTCATAAATGGCTAGGCTTCTTTCAATTAAACAAAAAAAAGGTTCATGTTGTGTACGACCCAATAAAATTGGAACTTTTTATTTTGGACCAAAAAACAAGACTAGGAAATTAGATGTATACACGTGTACAGTGCAGATAAGGCCAGAAGCCCAATTCTAATGTGATTAGAAAACGTCATCGTTTGGAGGCTGAACTTGGTCTGTTACGGTCATCTCCATTTATTCTTATCGCATCTGTGCCCCCCGCTTTTCTCTGAATCTTTCTCTTCAACTTCTCAAATCGACGCTCTCTGTCTCTCTCTCTCTCTCTCTCTCTCTAAAGGTACTGAATCTGCGTTACTCTGTCTTTATTTTGTTTTATGTGAAATTACGTTGATCCGTTTATGTGTTATTTACTTCAATTTATTGAATTCTTATGACAAATCTGAAAAATTGTGGTGCTTTAAGTTCCGATCTGTTTGAAGCTGCTGTGAATTGAATCACTCATTCAGTACACCGGCCTAGTTATTGGATCTCTGTATACGAATAGGGATCGATTAATTATTATGTATAAATGTATGAATAGGGTAATCAGAGGGTCACAGATTAAATTTTGATGTGCCATTCATGGCTGAAATTTATGCAGATTTTCGCGAAGATTTGATTTATTTGATTTTATTATGTTTTGTTTGATTTTTTGTTAATTGGGTTTTGTTCAGTGTGTTAATCAACTGTAGTATTTTCCAGAAATTATGGCATCCAATAGGGGTCATGGTGGAATTCAGCAGTTGCTGGCTGCAGAGCAAGAAGCTCAGCATATCGTCAATGCTGCCCGAAGTGGTAATTTTTCGTTAAGTTTTATTTGGCCATCGATCAATTGTGTATATCGATCGGTTAGCTGTTTGTTTCTACCACTGATTCAAGTACTTGATGTGCGAATCTCTGAATTTTCATTTTGCAAACGGAATTGTTTGCAGTGTTTATTAATTGGACTCTTGCCAAATTGTGTGAAGGTGGGTTCTTGATTTTAATTGGAGAGCAATTTATCTTTTTTCTAGTCTAACCGTTTGGTGTTACAAAGTGGGGTTTTCTATAAAGTATTGAGTTTGAAGTGTTTTTCTTTGAAACCTGATGCTTCAAGGGCTTAAATTTGAAAATCCCTAAATGTTACACAAAAAACGAGTTTTTTTAGTTTTCTAATTGCTTTGCTGTCTGGCCTTCTGCTGTTAGCTAAAAATGCTAGACTGAAGGAAGCCAAAGATGAGGCCGAGAGGGAGATTGCTGAATACCGTGCCCATGTGGAGGCTGAGTTCCAGAAGAAAGTTCAAGCGGTATGTATATGTTTGGTAAAGCAATACGTTGATTGTTCATTACGTCTGGCAATGTGCTTGCCAATGTCAGTGTCTTGTGTTTCTTGCAATTTGAGAAAATTAACATACCGACCACGAATATATGATGAGTGTCTTTCCCCTCCCCCCCCGCGCCCCCGCCCCCCCGCCCCCGGTAGTTTTTGTTATCCTGAAGCTACCCTACACTTGTTACATATGTGCTTCTTATGCCCTTCCCCCCATGCTTTCATATGGCGACTAAGCAGAGCAGTGGAGATTCAGGGGCCAATGTGAAGCGTCTTGAATATGAAACTGCAGAAAAGATCAATCACCTCTCGACAGAGGGCTCAAGGATATCGAATGATGTTGTGCAAATGCTTCTGAAGCAGGTGACGACAGTGAGAAACTAATGCTATTGGTGATAAATTATAATTTCAAACTCTTTGCAAGCATTGTACTCTTGTTGCCTGATTCATCCTATTCCTTAGACTTGCGGTGCTGTGGTTGGTATCCTCGTATCCTTTTTTAATCATTGGAATGAGGTTTTATTTGGCACAATCCTTGTAACACTTACTATTATTTTCGAGTGGAGTGCAATTTTAACAGTTATGAAAAATATTTGAATTGGGGACCTAGAGGGCACTACCCTTTACACTTTATACATTAATATGTAGACAAAAATTTACCAAATACATGAAAAAATATATTTTTACATCAAATACCTATAAAAACATTATTTAAATATGGATGAACTGTCGATTTAGTCTCTAAATTATTACTCGCGTGAAAATTAGATCCTTAAATTTTTTCGGAAAAATAAGTTCCTAAACTCATTACAAACAGCCAATTTCATCTTTGCCGTGAGATTTTAAGTTTTTCCATCCAATTTTCTGTTCACTCAAGTTACATGACTTGCACATGACATAAGTAAAAATCATCATTTTCTATGCTCATACTCTGGTGGTGTAGGTCTTTTAAGGTAACCAGAACTCTTTTTGGAGAGAAGAGAGACAACGCCGTTCATTCCTCTAGGTGCGTTGCACTTTCAGACGAATTTGGGAAGATTGAAAGAATCGATTCAAACTTTTGCTCAAAAAATTCTCAAATAGAGACAAATCTTTTACTGACTATGCTTTTACTTGGGGGAATTTGTGCATTGGAAGGACAATATTAGTAGAGATTGTATAACCATGTGGGACTTATGGGAGCTAGCAGAGTATCTTGGGTACAATAAAGAGACCACAAAGTTCTTTTATAAGAAAAAAAGGAAGAAATGATGGGTTCCTATTACTTGTGATGCAGATTACTTTCAATGTGCAAAATGTGTAACCAAAAGAAGCATAGACAAGCATCTATGCAAAATGCTATAATTGAGATCAATGTAGAAGATGCTATTCTGATTGAGGGTTCACATGTTGCTCAAGAAGTTGGTTCTGTAGACCTTGAATGAGAGTATGTTGCAGATGATGAGTGTGATGAAGAGGATGATAGAGAAGAATATGTAGTTGATGGTGGCGTCTTGGTGGATGTTGCGATAGGAGTTGATGATGTTGGTGATGAAGAAGATGAGGATTTTAGGGACAGTTATTATGAGCAAAGTGAGGATGAAGATGACAATAAGTTTCATAGATTTATTGCACCAGAAGATACCGAAGAGCAGTTCATGACTTGCTTTGCATGCCTAAACTTGGTTTGTTATGTTATTGGCATGATGTGGAATTGGTGCCTTGGACTTTATTTTTGGATTGAAAATAAAGAAAACATGGTATGGAATTATTTTAATGAAATTGTTGTTGAAGAGTTGAAATTATTTTCATGAAATTTGCTTTGCGATGGCCAAATCGAAAGCCTTTAATGTTTATATAAGATTCCCAGCGAAAAACAGTTGCAAATTAGGCTCTATAAATTTCAAAATTTGGGAAAATTTGATCGCGAAAAGTGAGGAGATGGATGCTTCTCCTAGTTGTGTTTCATGAGCGATGAAATGACGATTTTACCTTTCAAATTGTGTCATGTGCAAGTCATATGACCTAAGTTAACCGAAAAGTAAATGGAAAAGCTTGAAATCTAACGGCAAGGATGAAATTGGCTGTTTGTAATGAGTTTAGGAACTTATTTTTCTGAAAATAATAATTCAGGAACCTAATTTTAACTTGGGTAATAATTTAAAGATTAGATCGGCGGTTCACTATTTAAATATTACATTTGAAAGGCCAAAATAAAAATATAAAATTCTTATTAGATTATGTTTCCTAATTGCATTTGAATATCTTTGTTGGGAGTCTTCTAGGCTATAGCGTGGCCTTTTTAGTTTAATACGAAATTAATTAAAAACAAAACACCATCTTCAAGTTTCAAACCGGGACAACAAGCAACCACTACGCCTTTACCATTACACCTGTATGCATTCTGTTTCATCTATCTTACTTCATAGTATTTATAAGACAAATAAATAAAATAAAAAATTTTGGGGTCCCTGGTTCCTGGGATCTGGAAACCCATGGTGATGAAGGTTATCGAGCTGCAATCGCCAACGGGGAAGCCATTGGTTGCATGGTTCCTGGGAATCGACGTTCATGGGGTCTGCATTACTCATGTATCAGCTTGGCTTCGTCCATCAACAAGTGTAAGTGTTCAGGCGGAGGCGCTGTAGAAAGGCCGACCACTACTTTGGCAACACCTTATTAGACACCGGATAATACCATTTAATACTAACTCAGTATTTGGTGCCATTTTGTATTAAATTAGCACCGAATTATTTATGTAGCCTCACCTATTTTATACAACTCACACTAGATTACTTATACACTCCAATCCTCGGTATTGTTAGTCGGGTCGCTAGAAACAAAATCACTCTAGCTCTTTCTGCATCCCTCTCTTTTCGGATTACTCAAGCGCCTTACCAAGCCGTCTTCTCAATCGGTATTCCTTCTACAGTCTCCTTTTGAGGAAGTAGATGAACATCTTTGTGGAGCGGCAACTTTTATTAATAGGAGGAAGAAGTACAGACAAAAACAAGTCAAAGATGAACTGATTTTTTTTTTTGTAACTGAGAACAGCTCTGATCAATATTCTTTATTTTCTGTTCTCTTAAAAAGTATCTACACATTATTTTTTTTCATGGAAAAAATCAATTTTTAAATTGGTACTGCACCAAATACTCGACTAAAGAGTCAATACCATGAGTAAATAGTTAGTATTCCCGACTAAATAGTTAATACGCCCGGCTAAAAAGTCAGTACTATCCGATTACATATTATTTTGTTCGGCTGGGTAATCAGTATAGCCCAAGCTGACAACCGGGAGCTCTATTCTCTATCGTCAGTTGTCCTACTAAACAAGTGCTGTGATCTGGTGATCGTAGGCTGCAACCAATGGCCCAAATGTTTCACCTCTTCCCTTCTTACTCACCTCAACGACACCACCGCATTCTCCTGTCCACCTTCCTCATCAGGACAGCTTCAAAGAAGTTCCAAATCAAAAGATTATTGTAAACGCCACTCAAGAATGATATGTCGAAGTCACTATGAATTATTGCGCCAACTATGCACTTGCATTTCTCAAAAATATAATTACGAAAATATTCATTCGACTAGTTGATCAGAGCAGCGTACTCTATTTTGATCATAACCCTTCCTTGTAGACCAGATGTGGTAGCAAAAATTCGTTGCCTTCAGTCTTCACGAATTTGTACCTACAAAACAATCAACACATGTTGATCAAAGACCAAAGCCTCACGTACTCATGAGGTGGTTGGGGGAGGCGGGGTGCTTGGCCAAAGGCTTTACGATGTCTAAGTTAGTTCTCTGTAAAGAGTAAGTGTTTAGGGCTTTTATATGTAGCAAAAAAACTTACCAAAATTTGATGGAGATGAAGGTATTTATAGGAGGAGGTGGCCAACCATAGGGTTAAGCTTTTACCTTACACATGGTGGTATCATTTGGCCAAGGTGTGTCATCCGTTGGATGAATGAGGAAAAAATATTCCCAAGATTTTAATTAGGAGATAATATCTTGGAATTATAATGGAAGCATCCATGATTGATTGTGATAGAGATTCCTTGCTTGATGAAGTTGATCTCCAATTGTGAATGTATTAAAGATAAAATTTAGTAATTAATCATATCTTTAATGTCTTTGACTTTTCCACGCCATGCTGAGCAGCACGTGGGAGTATATGATAGCCCTGACCATTTAATGAGGACACGCTTGTCTTTCTTGAAAAAAAAAAAATCATGTGCTCTTCTACATTTCGGGATTATTTTTGGCTCCACACCAAAGTTAAACTATAGTCTTGTGAAAGAAAAACAAAAAGCAATGCTTATTTTATAGAAAATTAAATTAAATTGACAGTAAAATGAGTAGTCTTGGCCTCTCGTAGATTATGGTTTAACTTTGGCCTTCTGAGTTAAAAAAAAAAAGGTAATACTTAGTAATTCTAATATTCTATGGAACCTCAAGAGCATCCCACATCATAGAGCACGTTAGGCTGTTGGACTTTCACATGGGATACATCCTTATTATGGACCATTTATGATCGTTAAACTTGGCTACATATCATGAAGTACGTTGGAATTCTACTGTAAAATCAATTGGTAATAGAAGAATAACCCAATTTCTTATAAAACATTCCCCATCCTCACAATAAGTCAAAATAATGGAGTTAGTTAAACTGATTTGTTTGATTTTAAGAGCAGATCAAACTTGTCCTCCCAATTTTCTCTCCATTTTCCAGAGAGAATGGCTCTTTATTGAGACCATCAATGGTCTGACTAATTTTTTGGGTTTTAGGAAGCAAAGAACATTGGATTGTTAATTTAATATTCTAATTGAAATCTTGGCATTAGATTAATTTATCAATTGAAATCTTAATAAAGAACTCGACAAAAACATTATTAATAAAGAGTAAGGGCTGGTTTGATATTGCTGTGCTTTGAAAAAAAACTGCTTTTGCTGTGCAGTGAGAATAAGCAGCTGTGAAATAAAGCAGCAAAGTGTTTGGTAAACTTGTTTGTAAAAGTACTTTTGAAAAAAAAAACAGTATTATAGTGTTTGGTAAACTTTTATGTAAAACAGATGTGAAAAAAAATCAAATTTTCAAAGCTGGGTTTTGCAGCTTTGTGTTTTTGGCTTTTTTTTCACCCAAAACTGTGAAAAAAAACTGAAGCCGAATGTTTACCAAACACAAAAAAGCCCACAGCTTTTTTTGATACCCACTTTTTTCAGAATCACCTCAGTACCAAACCAGACCTAAATCATGTAGATCCTATAAAGACATAATACAGTATTTTTATTTTTTATTCAAGCGATTTTATTATTCTAAGTCACGTTAAAAAGAGAAAGAGAATTTGATTCTACGAAGCAGTGAGCTGAAAAAGTGTACATGCCAAAGTTTTAGAGAGACAAGCAAAATAGTCTAATACCAATGTTGCTCTCTACTCAATCATATGCTAGCCCGACAAAAATGAAGTTTTATTTTAACAATCATTGGTAATATTATAAATAGAATCATATAATTATAAGTTGTAAATTATTTTTGTCAAACTCTCGATGTGTGCAAATGACGATTACTACATTAGCAAAAAGTAATCATGCATATGTATTGTGATGCGGATTTGATCCCCATCAATTTTCTT